CACACACACACACACACACACATATATATACATACATACACACAAATATATTATTAAAGTTACAGAAGAATACAAGAGACATTTACAGTTACATTGCTGATGACTGAAAATTTTATGATGATAATCATGAAAGTAATAATACTTGCCATAATAATAGTACTATTAATAACAATAATAATAACAACAGTAGTAGTAAAAAGGATGAAGACATCAGCAATAATAATCATGGCGATGATGGTGACACACAACACACTGGTGCATGACACACAAAACATAACACGTGACACACAAAACATAACACGTGACACACACGACACGCGACACAAAACATGACACACTCACGCAAAAGAGGGCGGGGTGGCACTTCTCTCCCTTGACACACGACATACAACATACCACACACCACACATGACACACAACACACCACTTACCAAACGACACACAACACAAAACATACGACACACTCACGCAAAAGAGGGCGGAGTGGCGCTCTTCTCCCGTGACACACAACACACATGACACACTCACACTACACACATGACACAAAACACACGACACACTCACGCAAAAGAGGGCGGCGTGGCACTCCTCTCCCTCGACACAGATCTCTTCCTGGGTGGGGGCGACGGCGACCGGCTAGTCCTGATGTACGGCAGAGGCGACCGCGACCGCGACCTGCTGCGCGACCGGCCCGAGCGCCGACCTCTGCCCGGGCTCCTCGACCGTGACCTTGAGCTGGACCGCGACCTTGAGCGAGACCTGGAGGCTGAGCGAGATCGGGACCTGGAACTGAAGGGGAAAAAAGCTTCAAACGACGTCATCTCAAACGAAAATATCTCAAATAATTATCTAACACGACATTATCCTATCTAATAAAATGACATTATCTCAAATGTTATTATCTATAATGACCCTATCTTATCTCAAACCATGATAACTCAAATGACGATACCTAGTATCTGAAATTAAGGTATCTCAAACGACGCTATCTCAAATGTCAGTATCTCAAATGTCAGTATCTCAAATGTCGGTATCTCAAATGTCCGTATCTTAAACGACGCTATCTCAAACGATGTTTTCTCAAACTATCAAATGAAGTTATCTCAAACGACGTTATCTCAAACGACGCTATCTCAAACGACGTTATCTCAAACGACGCTATCACAACCGACGCTATCACAACCGACGCTATCACAAACGACGCTATCTCAAACCTCGTTATCTCAAACAATGTTATCTCAAACGACGTTATCTCAAACGACAGCTCACCGAGGCCTCCTCTCCTCACTGTTGAACCGACGTCTGGGCGGGCTGTTGCGTCGTCCTGGAGACGCTGAGCGTGACCTTGATCTTGAGCTGCGACCTTCCTCCTTCATGCGGCGGGCTCTTTGCTTGGCTCGGAAGAACTCGTACAGTCCTAGCTTCTCCCAACCATCACTGAGG